AAGGCTAGCACTCTACCACTTGAGTCATAGCACCACTTCCAGCTTTTTCTGCTTATGTGGTGCTGAGGAATCGAACCCAGGGCCTCATGCATGCACAGCAAGCACTCTACCACTGAGCCAACTTCCCAGCCCGTTTGGTGCTCAAGACAGCATGCTCTACCACTTCAGCCACAGTTACACTTCCGGCTCTTTGGTGGTTCATTGGAGTTAAGAGGTTCACAGACTTTCCTGCCTAGGTTGGCTTCAAACCAGACTCCTCAGATCTCAGCCTCCTGAGTAGCTGGGATTACAGGTGTGGGCCACAGGGCACGTCTTTGCTTACTTCTTCCGTCGAGTTCTCTAGGCTTGGACCTCACTTATTTCTTCCAATGTTTCTTTCAGGTCCTACCATGAAACTGAAACGGCTCATAGTTCTGGAGAAATACAAAGATATCATTGATTCCTTTTACCAAGAGCAGAAAAAGTAGAGAGGAAGGGCCACCCTATGGTTGCTGCTAAATAGGTAGTTGGCAGACTTTCAAGCGTTTTCCAGCCTGAGCATGGAAACCTCTGACAAATCTGACCTTCCCCTCCACCCTCCACTTCCCCCCTCCCCTCCCCTGCCCTGCCCTGCCCTGCCCCGAGTCAGGATGTCCCAGGGTCCCCAGTGCTGAGAAGCTTCCTCTCTGGGCAGTTTGGATTCTGTGGAAGTATGGCTTCGTGGTCAGATGACACAGAACGAATGGAAAGGCCAGTCAGTATTGGCCCTTGATCCAGGCAAATGGAGTCATTTGCTAGCAACCCAGAACAGGTGACCAAATGTAGGCTTTGGGGGAGAAGAAAGGGAATGATGGCTCCCACCTGAGTGTCCCGGCTCACCTGACAGCCTGACCCATTCTGGAATCTTCTTGGACACTGCAGATCGATCAATACTCACTACCTACCCTCCTTCATTTTGCACAAGCCACTGACTCACTCTTTTAACCAAACTGCTGCTGCCTATACGATTCTATTTAATGTGATTTGCATAGTAAACCTTTTAACAAAACTGCTGAGTACTTCATTCATTCAGCAAGCCGAGAGGAGAGAAGAGTGGCAGGCAATACACACAAGCCACCATCAGGGTACAGTAAATGCCCTTAGAATAAAAGCAGGGCACCAGCGGTGCATGCCTGTAATCCTAGCTATTCAGGAGGCGAGATCTTAGGATTGCGGTTCAGTCAGCCTAGATAGTAAAGTCCATGAGACTCTTCATTTTATTTTAGTTATTTTTGTTGATCATGCGTCTTGGAACTCAGGGCCTGGGTGCTGTCCCTGAGCATTTCAGCTCAAGGTGAGCACTCTACCACTTGAACCACTCTTCTGGTTTTCTGGTGGCTAATTGGAGAGAAGAGTCCCAGGGACGTTCAGCCCAGGCTGGCTTTGAACTGGGATCTCAGATCTCAGCCTCCAGAGTAGCTAGGATGACAGGCGTGAGCCACCGATGCCTGGCTCTTCATTTTAACTAGCAAAAAGGCTGAAGTTGTGGCTCAAGTGGTAGAGTTCTAGCTTTAAGGGAGTAATTCAGGGATAGTGCGCAGGCTCTGAGTTCAAGCCCACAGGGGCTTGAATGTGAGCACATACACGTGTGCACGCACATATGCACTGGAATAAACAAAGGTGCAGAACAGTAGAGCTATCTAGTAAAAGCGGCCAACCCTTCCACTCTGAATACCAGCAGCAGCCATTCTGGACAATGCACGTGAATCATGGCCAGAAAGCAGGCAGAGAGAGAAAGAGAAGGCAGCCGTAGTCTATTTGGAAATTCTTTATTTATTAATTTCCATGAGCCTGAGAACCACTGACGATGAGCACAATCCAGAGAGGCAAAGCAGCAGCATAAACAAAGTAGGATACAAATGAGATTGTAAGCCTGGGTATAAGCTTAAAAAAAAAAAATTAGCCGGGAAATGTCCCAGTGACCTGGGCACACGGGCAGAACGAGAGGTGTGCAGACCCACACAAGGCTTAAGGGAGAACCCACATGGCCTCTGGTTTGGAGACAAAGGTCATAGAAAAGGGTCACCATTGATGACCTCAGGCCCCACGTGGATTGACTGTGAGAATCAGCTCAAGCCACGCATGTTCGGCCTCTGCCGTGGCGTCTTTTACTGGTATTGCTAAAGCAGTAGTGGGGAGAAAAGCGGGGGGGAGGAGGAGGCAGTCATGGAAATTAAAAATCCACAGCCAGCAGCCCTGTGTACCTTAACCACAACCAAAACACTGGTGATTGGGCTAAGCAGGCCGCAGGTGGCAGGACAGCTGGCTCGCCCATCTCCACGGTGGAGAGGGGGAATGGATACAGCACAGGAACTCAGAGGCTGTGACAATTTGTGTCCAGTCAGAGGACATGACCCCTCTTTACTTCATCAAGAGTTCTTGCCAAGAATATTTCATCTCCAGGGAACAAAATAATTGAATACAAAATACATCTGGCGCCTTGTACGCAATATATTACCTATATCTCATTAACAAAAGTTATAGCGCTCCTTTCTATAGTTCTTGGATCTGAAGTTTTTATTCATAGTAATTCATGGAAAGGACAAATCTTTCTTCACTGACCGCATTACTAAGAAAAAGGTTCAGGTTTGCGGTTTCCCTAGGAATTTTTCTGGTGCCCCTTTGAGTTTTCTAAGAATGTTATTTTGTGCCATGACTTTATTTCCATTATGATTTTCATCAGCCAAGGAAAACGGCAACTTTTTGTTGTTGTTGTCTCTTAAAAAGATAGGTGTTTTTTAAGGAATTTATCTCATATTTACAGCTGAGGAAAATTGATTTGAACTGAAGTGTAAAATGGTTAACAACCGCAAATGACACAGTCCACTTCCGGTTTACTAAAAAAATGTTTCCCAAATAGACATGTAATAAATAGAACAAGCATTTGGAAAAGTCCTTTGAAAGCAGGGCTATACACATCGCCTGCAGCCTCCAGGTGGATTTTGTTAAGAAAAGGCCAGATCAGAAAATGTACTGTCAAGAAACAAGCAAACCGAATGCAGACAGAATGGCAGGTGATCGAGAGGTTCATGTGTCCATCAGCCAAGACCACGTGCAGGGGCTTTAATCCGAATCCTTCACTCGGCGACAGATCTCATCTGTGAACTCTGAACATTTGGCTTTGCCTCCCAAGTCTTTTGTTAAGGTCTGAGGAAAGGAAAACAATAACAACATGCATCCACATGCTGAATTAAGACCAAGGATCTCAGCTAGGAGCTGGTGGCTCACGCCTGTCATCCTAGCTACTCAGGGCTGCGATCTGAGGATCGCAGTTTGAAGCCGGTCCAGGCAGGAAAGTCCATGAGACTCTTAACTTCACAGAAAAAGCCGTAAGCAGCACTGTGGCTCAAGTGGTAGATGGCTAGCCTTGAGCAAAATGAGGTCAGGGACAACAACGCCCAGTCCCATAATTCAAGCCCCAGGACTGCAAGAAAAAAACCAAGGGTCTTTTTATTTAAAGCCCTCAGATTGCCAACTTACCCTTACAACTTTTAGCTTCTCAATTCAAACCAAAGACCCTACACGCAAAATCTCCCAGTCCACAAATGCTGGGTGGCCATGGCTCACTCTTGTAATCCTAGCTACTCAGGAGGCTGAGATCTGAGGATCAGGATTTGAAGCCAGCTCTGGCAGCAAAGTCCATGAGACCCTCATCTTCAATTAACCACCAAAAAGCTGGAAATGGAGCTGTGGCTCAAGTGCCAGAGGGCCAACCTTGAGCAAAAAAGCTAAGGGACAGCACCTAGGCCCTGAGTTCAAGCCCTCAAAACAATCACTTGTTCCATCCCCCCCCCCCACACACACATACACAGAACATGGGATCACAAGAACGGTACCTTTCCATCTTTAATTGTAGCAAAACACGCAGCCTCAATTCTCTCAGCCTGGTCAAAAAGCCTCATATGGCGCAGCATCATCACAGCACTGAGCAGGAGGGCAGTGGGGTTGGCCATGTCCTTGCCCGCTATGTCTGGGGCTGTCCCATGCACCTGTGTACCAGGGAAAGCAGCATGAGCGGAGGCACGCATGCGCTGCGGCTCAGTGGTAGAAGGTGGGCTGAGGTGGGAAGTCCAGGGTTTGATTTCAGAACCACAAAAAAAAATAGAGACAGACAGAGATAGAAAGAGGGAGGGAGGGACGCAGGAGTCTCCATTCTCTCTCCTATCCAATTGAAAAAAAATTATTGAAAACTGCGTGGGATTCATCTGACATAGATTTGAGGAGTAAAAAAATAAAGCTTTAGAGAAACAAAGCACTAGATTTTTTTTGGGGGGGAGGGGTTGTTTTTGTTGCCAATTCTGGGACTTGAACTCAAAGCCAGTTCATTTCCTTGAGCTACGTTCAAGACTAGTGCTCTACCACTTGAACCACAGCTCCACTTCCAGCTTTTTTTGGTGTAGTTTATTAGAGAGTCAGGGCCCTGCTTGAGCTGACTTTGAACCACAATCCTCAGATCTCAGCCTCCTGAGCAGCTAGGATGACTGGTGTAAGCCACTGGTACCTAGCTAAGCACTAGTTTGCTAAAAGCCCAAATACTGGCACAAAGATACTCTGCTTGTGCTTGTGTGTGTGTGTGTGTGTGTGAGTTTTTGGTAAACTATTTCAGGGGAAGAAAGCTACACAATGAAGAAGTATCTAACCAGGGGTGGTAGCACACATCTGTAATCTTAGCGCCCAAGAGTCTGAGGAAAAAGTGTCTGAGTGCATGGCAGCCTGGGCTATGGAGTGAAGTCCTGACTCAAAATAGAAATAAAATCCTAGGGGCTGGGAAGGTGGCTCAGTGGTAGAGCGCTTGCCTTGCAAGCATGAGGCCCTGGGTTCGATTCCTCAGCACCACATAAGCAAAAAGAAAAAAGCTGGAAGTGGTGCTGTGGCTCAAGT